TGGTAGGGGCTTGCACACCCACGCTCGTTCACCCACCCTTGCTAGACTGGGCCCCGGACTAGCAAGGGTGGGTGTGTATGCGCGCGTTTACTCACTTGTTTGTGGTTACAGGGGTCGATTCACAACTTCTAGCCCCAGTATTGTGACTCAGTTTTTGTAGTCAGGATGTCATCAAACTCTCTTATTTCATTTAGAGTCTTTTAGTCTTTTTCCCAGTCAGGGCCGGCCTTAAGCCGATTGGACGATTGATCCCAGTTGGGCCCCACGCCTAAGGCGGCCTCGCGCTATAAGAATAAGAAATTTATTTTGACATGATACATAGTTGTACAAAGGAATATAATAGTTGGGTGTATATGCCAAAAGCCTTTTTGTATGAAGAGCATTTCAGGCAAACTTAATATTAACCTGTGAGTACAAGAGATTTAAGTTGTTGTAGGTAGTGCTAACAGGCTTTAATAAGTTTAGTAGAGAAGTTCAGTAGTGAATAATTACAGTTTTAAAATTAGTTTTTGAAAATTAAATTATTACAAACAATGGTACAATTTGAATTAATTTACAATATGGAAATATTACAATGGAACAATTTACAATATGAAATTATCACAAAATAGTATTAAGACAATGAAATTTGAGCATCCTAATTTTGAAGTATTGAGTATATGGTTGAGCAATCCTTAGCACAATATACAGTAATGGAGTTGAATTAAGTTTAAGTTGAACAGTCTTAACATATAAGTTTTTTGCATAGCTTTTGAGTAACTGGTAGGTATTGAGTATGATTTGTCTAGTTAATTTTTGGTGATGAGGTGATTTCTAAGTAGAGCCTTAAATATATTTACAGGCAGGAGTCCTTGAATAATTAATAAATAACAAAAAGGCACAATACCGTGACTGGAACGATACACAAACAACCCGCACATAAAAGAGAGAAGCTTACGACGACGTTTCGGTCCGACTTGGACCATTGACAAAGTCAGTGCGACTTTGTCAATGGTCCAAGTCGGACCGAAACGTCGTCGTAAGCTTCTCTCTTTTATGTGCGGGTTGTTTGTGTATAGGAGTCCTTGAGTGTGTTCTGGCAATGAATTCCAGATCTTAGGGCCCTTTACTTTCATAGCATTTTTGCTTAGGGAGAGATGAATACGAGGGATATCGAAGAGTGATTTGTGTCTTGTATTATGACAGCTGTTTTGCTGTTATGACTATTATGGCTGGCTAGTGTAATCTACTCTCGGCTTGTCAAGTACACACAACAGCACGAAATAAAAATAAAGTGGCTTTGGATATAATATGTTGTGTGCAGTTTTATATTAAAATGTAGCTTACGTCTGTTTGGTCCATTAATTCGCATGTATTTTTTAAACGCACAGTTTGATTGCTTTCCATACATGGACCCCTCCAAAATTGTTCCTATTTGGGCCCTGCATCTCCTAAGGCTGGCTCTTGTTCTCAGTTCCCATTATACCCAGGTAGCTGCTTCTAGATGAATAAGAGCAACAGGTTTAAGGAAACATTCCCATAGCAAGTGAGCAGAGGCTGCTACACAGTGCACCACAAGCACCCTAGCAGATGATTTCAACAATAAGCAGTGATGGGAGGGATTAGATGAACCAATGACATTTGGCCTGGAACTTCATCCCTCTTTTATCTCTATCAGCCTTTATCAAAGCTACCCCAAATGAAAATAATAATACTGTAGGTTCAAGACTAAGTTACCCTAGCCTCCCCTATTCCTAGCCAAATTGCCACCCCTGATTCCCTCCTTTACTGTATAAAAATTCTTTATCTGCCACTAGTGGAAGCACAGGCAGACTTAATTAGGAAAACCTCTCATGGGAGGTGCCCTGAGACTGGGGAGGGGCTCATGATCCAAGGAACTGGATCTAATTCCCCTAGGCACTGTATGACCTCAGCATTAGCTCCATGAATCAAATAATAATATAATAGGAAAAAATCTGTCTGGGAACATACACATGTGCTCAATCCTCTGAGGCAGGACATGCACTGACTGCATAAAGAATCTGCATAAAGAATGGACACTGATGCACATGCGCTCAGACATGTAGGCAGTTGTATTAACTATGACCTTCATGATGTTGGAGGATGTGACATAATTTTTCTTTGAATGCTGAAAATACCAAATATAATATGAGGTATCCAGATGGTTTCATAAATAATCTGTTTATTATCTGTATTTTGACAGGAATATAATAAGCTGTTGTAAATAGGAATAAAATTCACAATATTATGGCTTGAATAATATACAGCTCATAGTTTGGAGAGGAAACATTAAACAACGTTTTGGTCCATTAAAGATGACTGAAACATCCTCTGAAGTTTCCTCTCCAGATTGTGAATTAATTGTGAATACTGCAGTGTATAAATTTTCTATATTTTAACAGGTGGGGGACTGTCTAATATGGATAGTGGTTGGTTTGTCATTCTGGGGCATCCTTGTTGCCATTACTGGAGAATTGGCTCTTCCTGGTGGTAACTTCTTCAATCTACTGGTTCTCTATGTGGTGGCATTGGTTGCTGGTTTCATGGCCAACTTCATAGGCTTACCCCCATTGCTCGGTAGCCTTGTGGTGGGCATACTTTTCAGCAGTGTGCCAGTAATAAATGTTGTTGGACATAACATTGATACCTATTGGTCATCTGCTTTAAGGTAAGTTTTTTTTATGGTACAGAATGCCCTTAAATATATGAAACTATTAAGCCATGACTCACGAAATCATAATGACATGATTGCAAACAAACCATACCACAGGTGGGGATAGAACCCAGGGTCAGAGAGTCATAAAACTCCCGATCAGTCAGTCTGGAGTTTTATGACTCTGACTGTGAGGACTATCCCTGCCTGTGGTATGGTCGATTAACCCTTTCAGGGTCCACAGGCCCTCTCAGAGACTTGTTCTCAGGGTCCCTCAAATTTAAAAAAAAAAATTATTTTTTCTTATGAAACTATAGAGAATCTTTTCCCAATCATAATGACACCAAAAGTATGAAATTTGATGGAAAACTTATGGAATTATGCTCTCGCGAAGTTAGCAGTCTGAACGATGTTTACACATCGGCGATTTTGCCCACTTTGAGCCCTATTTTCAGCTAATTCCAATGTACTAGTCAACAAAAATCATAATTATTTCGCTAGAACTCCATTTTTTCCATCGACTGAGTACAAGAAACCACCCATTTACCAGTTTCAACTATCCAATAAAGTGGTCAGAATTTAGCAATTTTGCCAATTTCACACAAATTCAAAAGATGCCAATTTCCGAATAGAGTCCAGAATAAACAAGAAAGACATTCCTGGCACTAAAATAACAAGTTCTCTGTTCGTTAGTCACATCCCCAGGCCCCTCTTATATTTCTTTGGCTTTCCACTTTGAATTTTTATTCTTACAAAAAATAGAAGATTTACTGTTATGCAGACTACTGTATTAGTGTACAAATGGTATAAATAATATCAGCGCAATTTTGAAAGAATATTAGACTCACCAGTTGATGTGTATTGGACGCTTGGCATGATTTGTTTACTTTTGAACTTTGGTAAAAATCGAACATTTCTGCTACTTTGAGCTCAATTTCAAGGTACTATTCATTGTAAAACCAGTCAAAATCATCTCAATTTCTGTAATATGTCTTCCATTCTATAAAATGAGACCAGGAAAACTAGAATACAACAATAAATACCATACGAAAATACAGTGCAAAGTCGCTATTTTAATCCAAAAAACAATCAGTTTTTTTTCTCATTATGCAATGTGTGCTGGAGGATTTTTTTTATACTGTGCACACTGACCACATAGACCCATTCTTTCATATGTAGGCCTACCAGCTTTTTCTCACTAGATTTGAGGGCGCTAGAATTTAGGCGTACTAGTACGTCAGAAACCCTGGGGTGTAAGCCGTACTAGTACGGCCGAAACCCTGAAAGGGTTAAGCTGTTATTACGAACTTAAAAATGTATCATAAATTGTACTACCTCATGTTAATAATAGAGTAAAGTATTGAATATTTGTAATCTACCACTCTTCACCTGTCTAGATTTAAGTAGTCTTTAAGTATTAGGTTAAGTCTGCCCGAAATGCCTAGGCAAGACAGTGGCTTTCTTTGTACCAATCAAATTATGAAATGTAAGCACACATTGTAACCTTTACAAAGAAATAAAAGTTTGATTTTTTTTTTGTATGTAGAGTTTTTTTTGTTATTTGCAACTCCTCATGTGAAACATTAGTAAATATTAAACTTTGCATAAATAATCATTGCATTTTGTGTAATCAAACTGAAACAAGTTTATCTTATCATACAAATAACATTGTACCTCAGCATGTGTGTAGTTATTACCTATTTGCAATAACCTTACCTAATTGTAGTTACAAGACAAGAAACCCAGCTTTTTTTTTTTTTTTTTTTTTTTTTTTTTTTTTTTTTTTTTTTTTTTTTTTTTTTTTTTTTTTTTTTTTTTTTTTTTTTCATTTTATCATAAAAAGTTTTTAATTTTCAGCGGTATTTGGTACATGCTATATCATGTGACCTTTAGAGACCAAGTAACTTACTGAGTCAAGGGATAATCAAGTACTTTCATTTTTCCTGTTTTCATGTAATAAATAAATAATTAATTAAGACTGTTTATCTAATGTAAGTTATTTTAACTTGGTATGATATTGTTTGTGTGTTTGTCACTGTGAATACCTTTAATTTTTATTTGAAATTTGTAATTTGAGTTTTGGTGTCTATGATTGTACAGTATATGACTGTGAGAAGCTTTGAATGACCTTTATGAATCTTATGGGTTACTTCCAGTTTTATGATTAAGTTGAATCCCCTTTAATGCATAAGCTTCCTTGAAAAGGAAAGGCCTTTATTGATTGCCTTCACTTATTTGCAAGTTTTACCCTCCCTCCCATATAGAATGAATCTTACAAGCATGTCAAAACATATTAGGAGTGGTAAAAATTAGAATTTTTTTTTAATCCTTTTTTATTATTTAATTCTACAAAGCTTCAGTTACTTCAACTAATTGCTAATATTATATTAAATTGCATACATGTACGTATTTATTTTTGCAGGAACATTGCACTTGTAATTATATTAATACGTGCTGGATTAGGACTGGACCCTGTGGCCTTAAAAAAGTTAAGCTGTACTGTAATACGCTTGGCATTCCTTCCTTGTTTAATAGAAGCCACAACGATGGGCATCGTATCTACGTTCTTCCTCGGTCTTCCATGGAGTTGGGGTTTTATGCTTGGGTAAGCTTTTTGTGCAGTTATTAATATAAATGTTCATTAATTTATTCTTTTCCTTACTTTTTGTAGTAAAACTGGATGATTTATCAAATATTTCCAAATAATTGCATGTATGCATACACTTTAGGCTACTGTATTTTTGTAACTATTTAAAATATCTTTGAAATGGAAATGGGAAGTACAATTCCTGCAGTTTAAAGGAGGGGTTTGGGATATTGGCAGTTTGGAGGGACATCTGAACTGTCGCATCTGAGCGCCTCTGCAAAGACAATGATTATCTGTGAGTGATGGTGAAAGTGTTGAATGATGAAAGTTTTTACTTTCTTTTTGGGTTTTTCTTTCTTTTTGGGTCACCCTGCCTCGGTGGGAAATGGCCGACATGTTATAAAAAAATCTTTGAAATATTTATTTTATACATTTTAACTAGGATTCGAGGATTGTGCGCCTAGGCCACTAAAATGAAAGGGGATGTGCAAGCTTAACTACAGTATTGTCATTTATGCATGTATTGCAAAGTTTGGTACATTGCTAATGATATCAAATGCCAGCGTAGAACTGAAAGGAAACAAAAGTTGTTGATTCAGGGGAAAGTTTGTGCTTACACTGTATTTGAAGATTTATGCATGGAAGCACTGTATTTAGCAGTGTTTATGAATTTGTATTAATTCACTGTAACATGTATTTTATGAGTATTAGGAAGATATTCATAAACTTAATGAGTGGCCTGGTGAATAGTTTTAATGATGAAGACTTCAATGCCAGTGTTGATTGTTTAGAGTAGAGAGGTGATGGGAATTGCTGTCTTGTCTGGTAGGTAGAATCAGTTAGCAATCAATGGTGGTGTTCTCTCTGGGAATGGCAAAGATGCTTAATGTTTTGATTTATAAAAATTATATGATTTCCATTGGCTAAACGGGCTTTTTATAAATACTTGTTGACTCACAACCCTATTCCAAACCAACAGTGACGTATATTCCAGGTTTATTGTTGCCGCAGTATCTCCAGCAGTGGTAGTTCCAAGCTTGTTAAAGTTAAGTGAACAAGGTTATGGGGTGGACCAGGGCATCCCTACTCTGATCATTGCAGCAGCAAGCATTGATGATGTGTTGGCCATTACTGGCTTCAGTGTTTTGTTGGGATTAACATTTGCTGAAGGTTAGTTTCTGTGCCTATAAACAATATTGCAAACACCCTGTGATGTTAGGTAAGACACAAATGCAACAGTAGGTATCTTTATTTCGAAACGTTTCGCCTACACAGTAGGCTTCTTCAGTCGAGTACAGTTCTGTACTCGACTGAAGAAGCCTACTGTGTAGGCGAAACGTTTCGAAATAAAGATACCTACTGTTGCATATGTGTCTTACCTAACAACCTGTTGGTATTTTATACCATTTTAATGTTCACCCTGTGATGTATAAAAATATCCTTTAATTAAATTTACCACTAACCCACAAATTGGTGACATAACCAAGAAAGTGTTTAAATTCATCCTGGACCATTTTTAAAACCAAAATGTCATCTCAAGTTTTCCTCTTCATTTTGTGAGTGAGGAGTTAGTTGTTACAGCAGTGCAAATTATAATTTTAGTTGATGCAGTAATTATCTTGAGCATTAATGATTGTGTATAAAGCTATTTAATCATTATTTTAGGCCATCATTTTAGGCTTCATAGCCATCAAAATATATTATGTATTTTGATGGATATGAAGATATTTATTGTGACAGCTGAAAGTGCCTCACTTCTTAGACATTTAAAGCCAAGAATAAGAAAGACAAATACGTAATTGATTATGGTGGCGTAGGTATAATCTGGACATATTTTTTTTGAGTTGGTGTGTTGTGAGTGGGAGAAGTTTGAGAAAGGCTAGACAGGTCATAATGGACAATGGGCCAGTCAGTTCTTGGTTTTTTGGGCCCTGACAATCTGTTGGATTGTGGACAAAGTGACATTTGTGAAGGGATTAAGGGAAACTGGTTAGCCAGAGGTAAAAATTAGGGCTTGCACTCGAAAGGAGAGGTGGGGACATTTGCAGTTTGGAGAGGCATCTTAACTAAAGTATTGGTGCACCTGTGCTTTAGTGATAGAGTGAATGACGTTGAAAGTGTTTCTTCTTTTTCGGGTTACCCTACCTCAGTGGGAGATGGCTGGGGCATGTCATAAGGGGCAACTAAAATGCAAGGAGCAAGGGTCTAGTAACCCCTTCTGTATAAATTACTAAATGTAAAAAAAAAAAAAAAAAAAAAAAAACGGAAAACTCTCTGGAAGCGTTTCTTCTTTTTCAGTCACCCTTTCTTGGTGGAAGGTGGGCGGCGTGTTAAAAAATATTTATACATATATATATGAATAATATATGGGACGAAATCTGCAAGCGACCCTACAAGTACCTTCACATAGTATATAACATGAAATACTTGTACATAACTCGCCCTAGGATTATAACCCACCCTAGGATTATAACCCACCCTCTTAGTTGCATCATAAAACAATGTATAACAGCAGTACAAAACAGAAGTAGTTTTAATCCTTAAGTGCAGTCTGTAAAAGAATAATGTTCTTCATGCTGTTTGGCTTTCAATGCAAAAAGCAGTAAGTACTGTATGTGCATTTAAAAAGAGTTGTAGGGTTCAGACATGAACTTACACAATAAATAAAAGTTAAGTTCCAAGTGAGAATGTACTGAAGATTGATAGGCACAGAACTTTCTACAGATTTGGAAGAGAGCCATTATACTGCAGTGATGAACCATCAAAATATAGGTCCCAACAGCACAAGCCAAGCACATAATCTAAAAAAGTTTCCCACCCACAAGTAGTGTTTTTTCTCTTGCAGTGCTTAAGAAAATTTTCCAGTTTCATCAATGTTGAACACCTGTGGTATGTAATGTACATGTATGATGCACAGAATGTAGGTTAGAATGATGCATGTCAAGGCTTTATGGGAAAATGTATGAGAGGTTTTGTGCTTGGTGCATGATGCACGCCAGGTGGTGACAGACATACAAGTATTTAATCTCTTACCCTGCTTATACAAATACAAAAAGTTTGTAGTATTTACAGATATTTCCAGCAAAATAATAATGCTTCGTGTTTTCGCTTTGTCGACAAGTATGCGTATGTTGGTGGTTATGGCAAGACAAGGACAGCACATGGCTGCATCCTACTTTCATATATATACAGTACCTTGTTTTCTCTCATAATACTAAATGAAATACTCCAGTCTCATCATTAAGTCAGCACCATCACCAATTATTCCCAGTAAAACGAAGTACACAGATGCTTGCTTAGTTAATATGTGATCTGCTTAATTACCCACAACCATTGCTTATATTTGCTATAACAAACTTGGTACAAGTACAACCAAGTAATTATAGGCAGAGCACAGTGAGTCTTGCCTGCAGACTGGAATAAATTTACAATTTTGAAGAGATCCAGAACTTTTTTTTATGTTTTTATGTACATAGGGCCATGGAATTATATCCTATCTTGGCAGTGTTTATTAGGACTACTTGAACAGAGACTTCTCTTTCCCCAGATATAGGTCCATACTAACATTTGTTTTTTTAATTTATTTCACCTAGTAGGAACATGCCTTCTAGCAAATTCTTCAGGTGTTTGATATCATTCATTTGTTTGATGCATCTTATTAAAAAATATTTGCCAAATTAATTCATTGAGGCAGTGATGGGCATCAGTTGGTTAGTGCACTTGAACCATCGAACATTTTAATGGGGTTGGTTGTGATTCCATTGTCATATTCATCAAGATAAATATAATATGAAACCCTAATATATCTTGAAGATCTGGATTGTCCCTTGTTACCTTGAAGCATAGGTTACCTCTCACCATGTTCTATTGGGCATAGTTAATTCTCTTCTGTAGGAGTTGTGGCAATTGGAATAGGTGTAGAAACCAACAGCTACATCATGGGTGACCATGTACTGGTAGTGTCATATTAATTAAGTGTCATTGTCACTGATTCATTGTTGGACTATTAGGGGGATTGTCTGAGTGTCTGTTAAATCAGAGCAATGTTAAAAAATAGCAATAAAATTCATTAAACTACTCTACTGTATTTCTAATTTACAGATATAGTGCAATAAACAATGAAAATAAAGGAGTTAAAAAACTCTACTGTATTTCTAATATACTCCTAAACACACAATTTACAGATATAGTGCAATAAACAAAGAAAATAAAGGAGTTAAAAATACAATTTAACCAGTGGATTTTGCCCATAATTTTAAAAGTCCATTATATCAAGGTTTAACCGTAGTTGAGAAGCTAATTGGGAACCAGATCAGTTCTAAACTTGCTGCAGGCCCTGCTGTTGGAGACTAGCAATTGAACCTTAATGACATAAGTACAAAAGTGGAGCTGTGCCTTGAGTTTTAATTCTGGAGAATGTATGAAGGTATTATGCCTTTATGGGTTTAAGGATTTTTACAAGATGCTGCATACCTTAATTTAAATGGAAACAAATTAAAGCAATATTTTAAAGCTTTTTTTAAATCATAAATAATTATGTAAACTGATCTATCACATTCATTTGTTGATTTATTTTATATTTTATTGCAGGTTCTTTAATTTGGACAATACTAAAGGGTCCTGTTGAGATCCTTTTGGGGATCATATATGGCATTTTCTTTGGGTTGTTGTGTTGGTTTGTGCCTTATAAGGAAAAAAGGAATCGAGCAGTATACAAGTTTATAATCGTCTTCTGTCTTGGTGCTTTGGGTATGTTTGGGAGCCATAAGGTAATGTTTTTCATATCATTCTTTGTACATTGCATGATATCTCTTTTGCTCTGAAGTTAAAATCCTTAGTGTATTTTCAATATGTAACTGGCTACAGTACTTAGAGAGCATTGCACTTCAGTTATATGGTACTAAATCACTTGAAACTTTAATTTAAATCATTGTCTAAATTTGGATGTAATTTTCTGAATACTGTACATTATAATATTTTATTTTATTATGCTAGGCTGTAGCTTCTAGAAAATTTTTATCACATTGACCAAACTTCAGTAGATATGTTAGTAGTGATGATGGACTGAATAGCTGATGTAAAATAATATTTTGTATGTTACTTGTATTCATAAGATAAATTGGCTGTTGTGCTAGGGTTTTACAGTAGTCAGACACAACTAAAGCAGTGTAAATAAAAATAATTAAGAATAATAGGCTATCATGGCTGTACTTAGGCCACAAGATAAAACAAACCATGACCGACTAGCAGCTCAAAGTGTTAAATAAAAAGCAAATAAATTGGGTATCAAAAGTAAACTATAATAACACAATTACAGGTAAGCTAACACAATACAGTGGTACCACGAGTTACAAACTTAATTCGTTCCAGAAGGTTGTTCGAATGCCAATACCGAACGAATTTGTTCCCATAAGGAATAATGTAAATTAGATTAGTCCATTTCAGACCTCCAAAAATACACTTACATAATTGTTCGAGTTGGGAGTTGTTCGAAACTCAAGGTACCACTGCCTTAATAACTGGATATGCAAACATAGCTTGGCTGAAGTTATAAACTGTGCATACAACTCTCTTGAACCCATCACATACCCAGAAAATCTTATACAGTGGACCCCGCATAACAATTACCTCCGAATGCGACCAATTATGTAAGTGTATTTATGTAAGTGCGTTTGTACGTGTATGTTTGGGGGTCTGAAATGGACTAAACTACTTCACAATATTTCTTATGGGAACAAATTCAGTCAGTACTGGCACCTGAACATACTTCTGGAGTGAAAAAATATCGTTAACCGGGGGTCCACTGTATATGATTAGAGTGGGCATTATTTAACTCAAAAATACATAGATAAATAAAATACAAATTTAAAAATGGCAGCTCTTGATGCTTACAGAATTACAGTGACTCACATTGCATTACATTGTTTAATCTGGGCCGCTGTCATATCTGCATGCCTCTGATGGTTAAAGTCCTTTTTCGGGTCACTCTGCCTCGGTGGAAGACAGCTAGCATGTTGAAAAAAAATCAGTTGGCAGTTTCAGAGTGATCAGATCTGATACTAAACTGCTAAATGTGTTACAGTGCTTTTATAATTTCCTCCCCTAACATAAATCAACTTCAATTACTTACGATAGCTACAGTTAGAGTAAGAGGTAGATGGGACAAAAGGAAAATGGCATCAAGAAGTAAGAGAGAGGTGAAAGTGTATAAACTAAGGGAGGAAGAAGTTTGGGTGAGATATGAGGAACTATTGGCAGAATGGTGGGCTAGTGCAAGTATGAGTAGTGAGGGGGTTGAAGAGGGTTGGAATAGTTTTAAAAATGCAGTATTAGAATGTGGGGCAGAAGTTTGTGGCTATAGGAGGATGGGTGCAAGAGGAAAGAGGAATGATTGGTGGAATGAAGTAAAGGGTGTGATTAATGAGAAAAAGGTAGCTTATGAGAGGTTTTTACAAAGCAGAAGTGTTATAAGAAGAGCAGAGTATATAGAGAGTAAAAGAAAGGTGAAGAGTGGTGAGAGAGTGTAAAAGGAGAGCAGATAGAGTGGGAGAGGCACTGTCAAGAAATTTTGATGAGAATAAGAAAAAATTTTGGAGTGAGATAAACAAGTTAAGAAAGCCTAGGAAACAAATGGATTTGTCAGTTAAAAACAGAGTAGGGGAAATAGTAGATGGGGAGATGGTGGTATTGGGTAGATGGCGGGAATATTTTGAGGAACTTTTAAATGTCGATGAAGAAAGGGAGGCGGTAATTTCATGCACTGGCCAGGGAAGTATACCAACTTTTATGAGTGAAGAAGAGCAAGATGTGAGTGTGGGGGAGGTGCACGAGGCATTACGTAGAATGAAAGGGGGTAAAGCAAAGCAGCTGGAACTGATGGGATCATGACAGAAATGTTAAAAGCAGGGGGGGGATAGTGTTGGAGTGGTTGGTATTTTTGTTTAATAAATGTATGAAAGAGGGGAAGGTACCTAGGGATTGGCAGAGAGCATGTATAATTCCTTTATGTAAAGGGAAGGGGGACAAAAGAGATTGTAAAAATTATAGAGGAATAAGTTTACTGAGTATACCAGGAAAAGTGTATGGTAGGGTTATTATTGAAAGAATTAGAGGTAAGATAGAATGTAGGATTGCGGATGAGCAAGGAGGTTTTAGAGTGGATAGGGGATGTGTAGATGAAGTGTTTACATTGAAGCATATATGTGAACAGTATTTAGATAAAGGTAGGGAAGATTTCATTTCATTTATGGATTTAGAAAAGACATATATGCTTCTAAGCTGTTGTATTCTGAGCACCTCTGCAAAAGCAGTGATAATGTGTGAGTGTGGTGAAAGTGTTGAATGATGATGAAAGTATTTTCTTTTTGGGGATTTTCTTTCTTTTTTTGGGTCACCCTGCCTCGGTGGGAGACGACCGACTTGTTGAAAAAAAAAAAAATATGATAAGGGAGCATTGTGGCAGGTGTTGCAAGTACGTATATGGAACAGGTTGTAAGTTATTAAATGCTGTAAAGAGTTTTTATGAGGATAGTGAGGCTCAGGTTAGGTTGTGTAGAAGAGAGGGAGACTACTTCTCGTAAAAGTAGGTCTTAGACAGGGATGTGTAATGTCACCATGGTTGTTTAATATATTTATAAATGGGGTTGTAAAAGAAGTAAATGCTAGGGTGTTGGGGAGAGGGGTGGGATTAAATTATGGGGAATCAAATACAAAATGGGAATGGACACAGTTACTTTTTGTTGATGATACTGTGTTTATGGGAGATTCTAAAGAAAAGTTGCACAGGTTAGTGGATGAGCTTGGGAGAGTGTGTAAAGGTAGAAAGTTGAAAGTGAACATAGAAAAGAGTAAGGTGATGAGGGTATCAAATGATATAGATAAAGAAAAATTGGATATCAAATTGGAGAGGAGTATGGAAGAAGTGCATGTTTTCAGATATTTGGGAACTGACATGTCAGCAGATGAATTTATGAAGGATGAGGTTAACCATAGAATTGATGAAGGAAAAAAGATCAGTGGTGCATTGAAGTATATGTGGAGACAAAAAACATTATCTGTGGAGGCAAAGAAGGGAATGTATGAAAGTATAGTGGTACCAATACTCTAACATGGGTGTGAAGCTTGGGTTATAAATGCTGCAGCAAGGAGGCGATGGAGATGTCCTGTCTAAGGACAATGTGTGGTGTAAATATTATGCAGAGAATTTGGAGTGTGGAAATTAGAAGGTGTGGAGTTAATAAAAGTATTAGTCAAAGGGCTGAAGAGGGGTTGTTGAGGTGGTTTAGTCATTTAAAGAGAATGGATCAAAGTAGAATGACATGGAGAGTGTATAAATCTGTAGGGAAAGGAAGGCGGGGTAGGGGTCGTCCTCGAAAAGGTTTGAGGGAGGGGGTAAGAGGTTTTGTGGGCGAGGGGCTTGGACTTCCAGCAAGCATGCGTGAGTATGTTAGATAGGAGTGAATGGAGATGAATGGTATTTGGGACCTGACGAGCTGTTGGAGTGTGAGCAGGGTAATATTTTGTGAAGGGATTCAGGGAAACTGGTTATTTTTATATAGCCGGACTTGAGTACGTACTGGAAATGGGAAGTACAATGTCTGCACTTTAAAGGAAGGGTTTGGGATATTGGCAGTTTGGAGGGATATGTTGTACATCTTTATACGTACAGGTACCATCTGACTTACGACCGAGTTTGGTTCCGACAAACCGATCATAAGTTGAAATGGACGTAAGTCGAACCTTACTACTGAATATCAACATCACATTTTTGTAATGATTTTATTTTATTGTTTTATTTTGATATTTCACTTTTTACTTTACTTTTTATGCTGTTAATACTGTATTTTATACTGAAAGGTTTAGGATAAATACTGTGTACAACACAAACAGTTGTTTATTTCCCAGAAATTTGGCATAGAAAACACGGTCGTAAGTCGAATGGTCGTATGTTGAGCAGGTCGTAAGTCAGATGGTAGGTGTATATGCTTCTAAACTGTTGTGTTCTGGGCACCTCTGCAAAAACAGTGATCATGTATGAGTGAGGTGAAAGTGTTGAATGATGATGAAAGTATTTTCTTTTTGGGGATTTTCTTTCTTTTTGGGTCACCCTGACTCGGTGGGAGACGGCCAACTTGTTAAAAAAAAAAAAACATACAAATACAGTAATAAAGAGTGTTACCAAAAAGTTACTAATAACCTTACAGAGCTCGCAGACTGGTGATCTTGATAGCCCAACTAATAGCTGATTACCCATTAATGATGCTTCATACATATGCAATAAACATTTAAAAAAAAATTTAAGGAAACTTGTTTTATGTAATTTGCATAATTTTTTTTCATTGGTGCCGTTTGTTATGTTCATTTATAATTACGTATGCTGTTTCTTAATGCTTTCTTCACAAGAAATGAAATTGTTTGAGAAAAAATCTAGCTAGTTTATCCTTAAAGATAAAGTATTCTAGATTTAAAATTCCAGAATTCACATACACTAATTTTATGCTAAAATTTGGGATGTGACATTAATTTTGTTTTGTATGGCAACCAGCTTGCAAGCTACTACAGGAATAAAATTGAATACTTGTATTATTCTTGTTATTTACTATCTTGTGTAGTTTGTAAAGTCTCTGAATTTTACTTTTTCAGAATTTATCTTTTCATATTAAGGTTATCATTCCAGGTTGGATTGGAAAGTTCTGGGCCAATAGCAGTATTGGCTTTTGCTTTCGTTGCTGGTTTAGGCTGGCGTAGACCAGGCAAGGAGGTAGGTGCAGGATTGGGTTTGTATATTATGTTATCTGTGCTTGCTGGAGATATACATTATGGCAGCTTGTGCAGTCCATCCTTCTTCTGTTCCTCTTACCTTTTGCCTTTCTCTTTAGTTCAATTCACATCATATCAAAACATTTTTACAATATCCATAAAAATCTTAGTAAGACATCAGTAAAGTAGCAGTTTGTGTAAGGAGTATTAGTCTTTACCAGCTTGACAAAGCTCTTGGAGAGTGAAACTTTACCACAGTATTAGTTTTGTTAATATGTATTGAGATTCATAAGAAAGAATACACAGTTCATTAAATAGAAACAGAGAGATTGGACAGGGGAAAATTCAATAAACACATTTTCAGTACAGTTTTGTGGTTTTCAATTTTAGAATTTGTGCTATCACAAAAGAAATGTAAAAACAAATTTTAAAAGCTATTACGATGTACCACATAGTAAACACATTTGCAAAATTCTCTAATATAGATATGTAATTTGTAAAGATTACTGTATACTTGCCTGATTCACACAGACATGCCCACTGCTATTTGTCACTAGTCTACATAGGTCTTCGTAGGGCTTGTGGTGACATGTCTATTTTTTAATAATCCAGGTCAACTAATGAGTCCCCTCTGAAATATTTGCAATATATTGCTGGGATTAAATGCTTAGTGAGCCTTCAGATACTTTTCGGTGGGGGCCAGATCTAAAAAAATCACCCTTTTCTGTACCCGGGTCTTGAACAAAATTCCTGAAAATTTTTACCCACATCTTAAAAATTATTTATGATTAATACTCATAAAAGATTAAAAACATTGCATCCTAGAAATCTTTATGATAAAAAGTTTTTCCTTGACTGCGGCATCATTGATTGAATAATCAATCCTAAATAGCCAAAATAGATTTGAAAATATAAAAACTGTATTGTGTTTACAATTTTTAACGAAAATTTTTAAAAGGGGGGAAAAGAAAAAAAGCCTTACTTAGTAACAATACTGCTTTCTCCCCTTTTAACCCAACAACATAAAAAACTGAAAACTGGTAAAAATTTTATAAAAATTTTTTTCAACAACCGGTTTTCCACAGGCGGGGGGCCCAAAAGAAAAACAAATTTCCCCTTTTTAAATTGAAATTTACGGAAAAAGGTTACTCCCCCCTTGCCCCGGCTTTTTTTTCCCTTTTTGCACCCCGGCTTACGGGGGAAAATTCTTTTCCCCTTTCCCCAGGGAAATAAGAGGAAATAAACAAAACAAAAAACTAAAAGAAAATAGCAGAAAACCCAGGGGGTGTGTATATTACATGCTTGTACATGTATTGTAGTGTACCTAAGTGAGGTAGAATAGCAACTACCTAAAAAACTTGCATGGTTCTTTTTTTTCTTTCAACTACCGCCAACCCAAGAGGGGGGGGTGCCCAAAAGGAAAAACGAAAGTTTTCGCCTTTTTTAAATTTATTTTTAATACAGAGAAGGGGTTACAAGCCCCTTGCCCCCACATTTTACCCCTCTTACACACACATGGTTTTAGGGAGGAAAAAATTCTGTTCCCCCCCCCAGGGGAGATGAAGGAAATAGAAAAAAACAAGAACAGAAAAAATAGAAAAAAACCCCAAGGGGTATGTAAAAATTATTTTTAATGTATGTGCAGTGGACCTAAGTGTAAAGTAGAATAGAAAGAGCCCTGAAATCTTGCATGGTTATGAGACAAAAAAAACCAGAAAACCCTACCACATTAAAACAATTCAGATTTCCTTTTACACCCTTGGCAGGGCGTATACCCCCTGGGGGGTTTCGTCTACCAACCTACTACCTAGGTTATTAACAAAGTTATGGTTTAATAACAAATAATGAACAACAAAACCTGACCACTCATAAGGGGTTTGGCAGACAAAAATCGACGCTTTTAAAGAGATGACAATGACGATGATTATTGTGAGATAGCCATGCAGTTTTCGAGGCGTTTTAATGGAGGTGATTATATGGAGTGAACTACATGGGATGATGATTATGTGGTTCTAACTTCATGCCAACACACTGGAGTCAGAGTTGCAAAAGGGTCAGATTTTGCCCCGGGGTTTGGGGTTTGGTGAGGGTAGGGGGGAGTGGGAGGCTTCCTTTTTGGAGAACTTGTGATGGGGGAACTGAGACTGTTTCCCTTCGATTACTAAAAAGTTTTTTAGGGGGAAATGCTGTACAAAGTTGCCATTACCTTTAAAACCCTCAGCACGTGGGGGCTGTGTCGTAAAAAAATTGTTTGAGCATGCAGTCTTCTCATGCCTGCCCTATTTTCAAGGGGAGGGGTTGAGGTTGATTGGCCCAACAACACTTCTCTTTTCATCCCACCCCCTTTCCTGCACAATCTCCAGCACTTCTTTCATCATTTAGGCCCAGTGCATAGTCTTCAACCAGGTTCTCTCGCCTCACCCTCCTGCATGTCCTCGAACCCTTCACCACCAACTAGCCTTTCTAACTCCACAGTCTTCCTCACGGCTTTGTTAACCTCATCCTGAGAACCAAATCCAACAAAATCACACACACACACACACACTCTGGCACTCTCTTCTCCTCCTCGGTGATGTAGGTCCTGGCAGGCATCTACTTCCAATACAGGGCTGTTTCATCCATATTCCACACCTGCTCAGGCCTGTATCCCTTCTCATCAATGATTTTTTTCAAAGTACCAGGGAATGCAGCTGCTGAAACATGATCTGCCAAACCTGATTCTCCACTCATTGTCAGGTTGTGCAGGGAGAATCAACTCTTAAATTTATCAAACCATCCTTTACTTGCTAGAAAGTCAGGATGGGTGATGGTAGGACATCCTGGTTCTGCACTGGTGCTAGCCTCATCACTAGCCAACATATCATACAAAGTCTTTCCCTTAGCATCAATTGCATTGCTGTCCATGGGATTTCCTTTTCTATTTTGGTCTGAAATCCACTCAGATAATGCTGGTTCCGTCTTAGACATCGCACTGTTTCTTACTTGCGACACTTCCTTGGCTGAGGGAGGAGCAGTAGATGCTAGTGCCACCCTTATCTTCACCTCATTTTTCTTGACAGAGCACACTGTACTTTTGTTTACATTAAATAATTTTCCAATGGCAGAATTGCTCAAATAACCTGCTCTACACTTGTCTAGCAATTTCACCTTCTTCAGATTCATGACTTTCTTTGAATGCTTAGGGGTTGGCTCATCAATAGTGCTTTGCTGCTCACTTGGGGGCCATACTTGCACCACCACACAAACACACGTGTATGGTAGGACACGAACAGTAACTGGACATGACCGACGCGAACAGTAACTGGACAATGACAGAGTGAGTGGCGGGCTGCCGGTTGAGGGGATAAGAGGGAGGGTAGTAGGGTAGTACTGTTTTCTCACATTTGTTTGGTAAATATGATTGGGCGGCTGGGCATTCGTGAGTGTTCAAAGCTCGTGAAAGTGGAGGGCTAGCTGTATACCATTTAATGTATAATATGAAAATATTGTGAATACATTAAGTTTCCATCTTACATCATCCAATGGGTGCACTTTGAAATCAGTTAATTACTCACAAACATGGGCTTGCTCTTTCTAATGATAAGACTACTAATGATCATGGAAACATCACTTCTGGTGATCAATATTGTATACCTGGAGAGGGTTTTGGGGGTCAACACCCCCACAGCCCGGTCTGTGACCAGGCCTCATGATAGATTAGGCCTGATCAACCAGGCTGTTACTGTTGGCCGCATGCAACCCAATGTACAAACCGCAGCCCAGCTGGTGCCTATCCAGCGCCTTCTTGAAGACTGCCAGGGGTCTATTGATAATCCCCCTTATGTATGCTGGGAGGCAGTTGAACAGTTTTGGGCCCGTGACACTTATTGTATTGTCTCTTATCATGCTAGTGGCACCCCTGCTTTTCATTGGAGGGATGTTGCATCATCTGCCAAGCCGCACCCCTGCTTTTCATTGGAGGGATGTTGCATCGTCTGCCAAGTCGCACTCCTGCTTTTCATTGGAGGGATGCTGCATCGTCTGCCAAGTCGCACTGCTGCTTTTCATTGGAGGGATGTTGCATCATCTGCCAAGTCTTTTGCTTTCATAGGGAGTGATTTTTGTATGCAAGTTTAGTATTAATCCCTCTAGGATTTTCCAAGTGTATAAAATCATGTATCTCTCCCGCCTGCCTTCTTGGGAGTACAGGTTCAGGAACTTCAAGCGTTCCCAGTAATTGAGGTGTTTTACCGCGGTTATGTATGCTGTAAAGGTTCTCTGTACATTTTCTAGGTCAGCAATTTCACCTGCCTTGAAAAGTGCTGTTAGTGTGCAGCAATATTCTAGCCTAGATAAAACAAGCGACCTGGTCAGTCGTCAGTGTTCAGTGGTCAGTCGTCAGTGTTCAGTGGTCAGTCGTCAGTGTTCAGTGGTCAGTCGTCACGTGAGGTCACAGACCCTGAGCTGCTTTGGGGATTAGCGTGGACGGTTACAAAGCATGGCTTGCTTCTGCAGTGTTTTAAAAACTGAGTTTGGAGAGTTGAAGGAGGAGGTCTTGCTTCTCCAGGAGGAGATTAGGAGGCTGAAGGTCCACCTCAATGGGCCTGGGAGAGAGTGTGAGGTGGTTGGAGATGTGGGGAATGAGGCTTCTAGCAGTGAGGTGCAGTCTGTCTCTCACTGTGAGGAGGCTGTAGGTGGGAGTAGCAACGGGTACCAGCAGTGAGGTGCAGCCCAGCACCTGCTACAAGTGGCGAGTTGTTCACAGTAATGGAGGCGCATCAGAGTAAGGAAAGTTAAGAGTGAAGATCTGAAGGTAGGAAATCGCTTCTCTGTTCTCCAGGATGAATGTACTTCAGTGGCCAGTGAAGGTAAGGGTACTACTGCCCCTGCTAATGAAGGTAAGCGCATTCTTGTGGTTGGTGACTCTCAGGTAAGATATGTTGACCGTGCTTTTTGTAATAGAATAAGAAGATGAGAGATATGAGTGTGCTTCCCTGGAGCTGGTGTTGGGGACATTGTCAA